GAGTTTATCTTATTAATCTTTAATAATTTGCACATCTCTGTGAAAGTTTTACTCATGAAATCTGTACCTTGATCTGTCAAAATGGTATCAGGAATTCCATGAATACAAACAAAATGTACCGTAAAAGCTTCTGCTACTGTCTGAGCTGTGTGATTAGGCAATGGAATCCCCAAAGAAAATTTCGAAAGATCATCTTGTAGCGTTAAAACAAAACAATTTCCCGATAAACTTTTAGGCAATGGTCCCACTATATCTAAGATTACTTTCTCAAATGGGCGTGAACTTGTAGAAGTTACTACCATTGGAGATCGAACGTGTTTATTCGAAATTTTATTCTTTTAACAAAGAGTACAAGTTTTTATATAATTACGTACGTCTTGTTTTAAACCTCTCCAAGAAAACTGTTTACTAAGTCGACGTGACGTTCGAGAAACACCTTGATGACCTCCGATTAAAGAGTCATGAAATTGCTTAATTAAAATTAATTTCTCATCATCTGAATATTCTGAGTCAGTACAGATTAATATTTCAATCTGTGTACCGCGAAATATAAATTTAATCATTGACCTTATATGATCCCATTCTAAATTATCATGTTGACCTAATTTATTCATTACTAGTTTAATTAAATTATTTTCTTCACAAAATTGTTTTAAATTAGTTAATGCAATATAAGTATTCTCGAAAGTTGATAATTGTTTATCTCTGTTTTTTGTAACTATGAACAAAATAAATCTATTATCTAGTTTAAAGTAATTGATATCACCAATAATCTTACTAGGTGGTAATAATTGATTTTGTGCGAATTTTTGTTTTAACTCATAGTTTAAACCAGTTTTAAAATTATATTGTTTTGCAATTTCTGATACTATATGATAATCAATAGGTGAATCAATTAGAGTCCCTACTGTTTCTTTTACATTGTTATTAGTTATTATAACCGTTTTCATTTTTTCAAGAAAAGTATCATAATTTTCTTCCCTTAACTGAGTTATTGTATACATTCTGCTTAAAGCATCTACGTTTGAATTTTGGACACCTGGCTTATAACGAATTTCATATGAATATTCTTCAAGTTGTATACGCCAGCGAGCAAGTTTTGATAATGGATTCTTTAGATTAAATAACCAAACAAGCGGTCGATGGTCAGAATAAATAATAAACTTTCTACCGTATAGATAAGGTCTAAATTGTGTTACACCATAAACAATGGCGAGACATTCGAGTTCTGTTGTACTATAATTATTTTCCGCTTTGTTTAAAGTTCGACTTGCATAAGCAATTGGTAAGTCTTTTCCTACTTCACCTTGTGAAAGAATAGCTGCTAGAGCTTTCTGCGAAGCATCGCTTGTTAGTATGAAAGGTTTAGTGAAATCTGGAAATTGTAGAATTGGTTCTTTACAAAGAATAGATTTTAGCTTATCAAATGAGTTTTGACACTCATCACTCCAATTAAATTTAACGTCCTTTTTTAACAAATTGGTCAAAGGTTTTGCAATCCCGCTATACCCGTTAATAAATTTTCTATAGTACCCTGTTAAGCCTAGATATGACTTAATGTGTTTTACTGTCTTTGGGGTTGGAAAATTTAAGACTGATTGTATTTTATTAAGACACGGTTTAATACCATCTTGCGAAATGACATGCCCGAGATAATTACATTCCCTCTTTAATAATTCACATTTGTCTGGTTGTATTTTAAGATTATGGTCTTGTAACCGTTGAAAAACTTCTATTAACTTATTGTTATGTTGAATTAAATTTTTCGCAAAAATTATTATGTCATCAAGGTACACTAAACATTTTAAACCTATTAAACCACTTAAAACAGTATTCATTAGCCTTTGAAATGTAGCAGGGGATGTTTTTAAACCCATAACTAACCGTTTGAAATGCCAATGACCCTGTAAGGTTGAGAAAGCTGTAAGCTCCCTAGATGCTTTTGCTAACTGTATTTGATAAAACCCAGAGGCCAAATCTAAAACAGTGAACAGCTGACATTGTCCTAATTGATCTAAGATTTCAGTTATATTAGGTAAAGGGTGAAATTCATCCATGGTTGCTTCATTTAATTTACGAAAATCTACTACAATTCTAAACTTAGGTATATTGCTAGCATCTAATTTCTTTTTAACTAAAAGTAAAGGTGCGTTCCAAGGTGACTTTGATGGTTCAATTATGTCATCTTGTTCCATTTGTTTAATTTGAGAATCAATTTCAACTTGTTGAGCTTGTGCAAGGCGGTAAGGCCTGCAATAAATTGAATTTTGATTCGGTTTTAAGTTAATTTCATGCTCTGTTGCGTCAGTAAAAGTTAATTTATCTCCTTTTAAATGAAATACTCCCGAAAATTGTTTACAAATGTCTAATATTGATTCTCGTTCCTCATTATTCATATGGTCTGTTCTAATGAGCTGATTAATTTTTTCTAATCTATTATCATTATCGTTAATTATATTTATTTTATGAGTAATGAATTCATTTTCGTTGTTATATAATACTGTGCTAATATCAGAGTTGTTTAATTCCTTTTTGACCTCTGATATATTTAACATGCTAACTAAAACTTTACCGTTTCGTACCGTACCAATTACGTTACCGCAATACACATCCTGTGTGACTTCTTGTTTATTTATAATAATAGTTTTATTTTCTACTTTTGAATCTGCAATCGGTAAACAAACTATTGTTTCCGACCTTGGTTCTAATATAATACATTTATTACCTACAACGCTACTTTCTGGTTGCGGATTAATTATTATTTTATTGTTAGAGATATCTATAATCGCTTTATTTTTTAACAAAAATGATTGACCTAATATTCCATCTTGTGGAACAGGAAACTGCTTATCTACTACATGAAAATCAGTATCAATTATACTCGTATTATCATTTATCATTATTGGAATATTTATTAGACCAATTGTTTTAGTAACTTGTTCATTAATTCCTTTTAAATTAATTCTAATATTTTCATCTACTAATATTTCACCAGATAAAGAAGTTATTTTTAAAATATTAACTTCACTACCTGTGTCAATAAGTAATTCAAAATTATTTATTTTACTAGCAGGTGACGCGCAATTTATATGAGTTTTATTTATTGTTGATGAGACTACTGTAAAACATCGTCGTTCTCCGCGGAAATTTGGTTTATTGAACGCACCCCGCGAGTTGCGTTCGTTTGCCCGTTTCCCGAAGAATTACCATTAATACGTTGATTATTATTTTGACCATTTCTATTATCTAAATTACGTTTTTTATAACAATCAGAAATAGAATGACCAATTTTTTGACAAAAATCGCAGGTTAAGTTACTTGAATTATTTGAATTTGGTTTAGAAAAATTACTTTGGTTAGGTGGTCTTGAATTTTGATTAAAAGACTGTTTTTTGTTAAAATTATTGCCATTAGTATTATTACTGTTTCTACATTGATTAGCGTAATGATTTCCTTGACAAATATAACAAGTTATTTTTTTACTTTTATTAGCCGAATTAGTATTATAGCCATAATTATTTTTATTATTATTGTTTCCCGAAAAATTATTATTTCGAAAATTACTATTAAAATTTCTAGTTTGACCATTAGTAAAATTTGACCTATTTTTATTAAATTTATTGTTAAACCCGTTATTAGAATTGTTATTAGTATGCCTATTATCTTTTTCTGACCTAAAATCGACTTCTTCGTTATGAGCAATTTCTTTAGCTTGTTCGAGATTTTTCGGATTTCTAGCTTTAACTAAATTTCTAATAGGTTTAATTAATCCTTTAATATAAGTATTTAACGTCTGCCTAACTGTGTTTGCTACTACGCCTTTTATTTCTTCTTGTGAACATTCTCGCGTATATATATCTAATAATTTATAATGCAAAGTTTCAACCCGAGCCGTATAAGAGATTACGCTTTCGGTAAAACCTTGTTGAATCGCGTTTAATTCGGTTTGTAACGCTGCCGCAGATTTTTCTGACTGAAAAGCTTCGCGCAAATAAGTTTTTATGTCACTCCATTTTGCAATTTCCCTAAATTTTATAACTTCTAACGCTTTACCGCTAAGTTTTGTTATAATATATTTAACTAATATAGGTACGCATTTTTTTTCTACCGAATAGACTGCTAAGTCACATGCACTTATAAAAGAATAAACGTCATCTGCGTTTGAACATCTAGGTATTAATTTAACTGCTTCATCAAATTTTAAAATTACGCCTGTATTCGTATTACTTGTATTATTTAAGTTAATAGCTGCTTCATTGGCTACACTATCGTCATTAAAAGTTTCCATATTAGATAATTTTTTAGTTCTATTTTTTCGTTCAAAATTTAATTCATAAAAGACTACTTCTTTTTTACTCCTAGTACTTCTAGACGGTATTAATTCCTTTAATATATTTAATTTTTCAAAAGCTTGCACAACTAAATCTTTAGTTTTATTAAGAGACTCGTTTAATGATTCATTAATGCCTAATGTTTTATCTAAAATATTTTCTTCAATATTAATAATTTCTACACTTTTACCAGTGCTATCACTATCATCAGGGTTTAAATCTTTACTATGGGGAGACGAACTACGACTATTACTACTCATAAGCTTTAAAAATACTCAATAATTACCCATAAAAAAAAAATACCCAAAAAAAAATGTACTCAACAACAGAGTTATTCAACAATAAAAATTCCCAAAAATATACTTCAATATATATAACTCAATAAAAATATAGTGTAAGGTTCACTAAAATATTTTTCCAATATTAATTCTCAATAATAATTTAATTAATTTTTTTATAATTCCATAAAATAAAATGTAAAATTTACTCAAATATAATTCTCTTTTTTTTTTTATATACCTATAGAACTCAAATAAAACTTCTAACGTTTTCAAAAAAAAATAAAGTGTTCGGTCACTTAAAATATAATACTTTTAAATACTCAATAATAACTAAATAAAACTTCTATAGTTTTCAAAAAATAAAGTGTAAAACTCACTTAAATGAGTGATATATAATATCAAAAAGTATCGTGTTGTTCAATTTGAAACCAATTCAGGAAGATGGATTTAAAATAATTTAAGACTTTTTTTCAAAATTATAAGTATAAATTTATTGTACAGTAAAAGTGCGTAGACAACTGCTACATAGGTGTATTTAACTTGAGTGTAATAATTCGTCTGGAATAGGCTTTGATCCTGCTCCTATTTATATGGTTATGCTAATCTGTGTAATGTGTTATTGTGTAAATTGTGTTGACTTGATGGGCGGATGCTACAGCGGACGCACATCGTATGATTATTTTAATTGGCATTATTTTGGCAATCTAATCTTATAAAATGGCAATAACATGTTTTTCCCAAATAGCTTATCAAAGCGAAACGGACTAAGGTAGTTTTGATATATATATATATATTTGTAATATAATTCAATCACTATGCCAGATAATCATGCAGGTGCGCTCTGTAATAACCATTAGTCATCTATCGTATAGGTATGCCAATGTATGACTCAGAGAGCTATTATAATATGAGTATTATTAGGCTTAGTGTAGTTGGTTGTTTTGTGTAATGGTGTGTAGAGGTTAACTGAAGGTTATGGTCATAACACCAGTATCAAATTTTACACAGATGGCACTGTAAAAGATAAAAATAAAAGTTTTTCAAAATGCCAAAAATAAATTAACAGCGATGCGAATAAACTACAAAGTTTTCGACTGTCGCAAAATGAAAAAAATTTAACTGCCTATAAAATCTAATTTTTTAAACTAAAATCTTGAATTTTTCACCAACTACAGAAAAAATGTGGACTATTTCGGATATTTATAGATGTTTGATTTAAAATACCAGTGGTTTTTTATTTTAAAGTTTGATTATAGTGTCTAAAATTTAACTAGGTTTTTAGAGACTTAAGATAAAATTTCGACCGAGTTCGGACTGAACAATAACGAAGGAGTGTCTATGTTCCGTGTAAAATCTTTATTTAATGCATTTTCATTTTTAGCCCTAATGATTAAAAACTACAATAATGTTTTTTACACATTTAGATTTTTTTATATACTATAATCTATGTATATATATCCACTTACTTCTTATTAGTAAACCATTTAATCAAGCCTTCGTTTAACCTAGCCTTTTTTCGTTTTACATTAACGCGCAGACGACTTTTATTTCCCGTTCTGTAATTTTTTAATTTTTCCGACATTATTGAAATAAATTACAATTACTTATTACCCACACTGAGAGTCGAGAGAGAACAACCACGAATGGGAACTGGGACTGAAATTATAATAGTATTTTATCATACAAAATATTCAACTTCTCAGGATAGTGAAAAAATACTAGATTATTACCTATACTGATAGTGTGACCAGACGTCCCGATTTTGGCGGGACAGTACCGATATTCAAGCAGGTGTCCCGCTAAATATGGTGATCAACTATTCAAACAATAGTTATTTTTTTCTTATTTTCACTTATGGTGTGTATATTTTGTGTTCCATCAGATCACATCAGTTTATTTTGTACAGTTTCTATAATCTATACTGTGATATCACTTATTATCATAGAGACCTAACCATTGGTTTTTATCACGTTATGATCTGGACTCTCAATCGGCTATAGGTAACCACGGTTTTAGAAATGAAACCCAAGTGGTTACAACCATAGACCTATAAAAATTTCTTTATATACCTATGGTTACAACTGATAAAAAATCTCCTTTATTGCTCAAATCTATTGCATCAAACGATAAATACTAAGTATTAGTAATTTTTTTATCTGTATTAAATATTTTATAAATTTGTATTAAGTATATTTAAATTTGGTTTTTATCCTACTTTGATTATAATTATAAGTTTACTTGTTATAATATTTAATACTTGTTTTTTAAAGTTACATTTTGTTTTTATAATTTTTTTGTTAAGTATATAATATACTTAATTTTATTAAGGTATTAATAAAATAAATATTTTATGTTCAACGAAAAATTGATTTAAATTTTGATTTTTATCCTATTTTGGTTATGATTTTTTTTTTGCGCTGTCTAATTTTAGCATGAAGAAATAAAGGTGTACCCAAAACCAATTATTAAGGGAGATTAAATCCTACGAGTACTATTTTATGAGGAGGGATACCCCACTTCCTCTAGTTCCTTTTGAATACTTGTCCCGCTTTTATAGAATTTTGATCTGGTCACTTTACCTATACATTGTAACCGATTACCGATAACAAAATTTAAGTGTTTTTTTCTAAAAATACGTTTTCATAATGTCAACAATCAATTTTTTGTCATGCTAGTTTGGCACCCCGCCGCGTCGTCCGGAGTACGTATAACAATTTTTGCCGCCAGGATCGCTACCTGACGGCCAAACTTTTACAAAAAGAAAAAACTGTTTTCGAGTACTTAACTTTGTCCGATATTTTTAAACTATGTACCATTTTAATCAGGACATTATCTACTATGTTTCTGGTTTATCAGATTTCAAACAAATATTTTAGAAAACAAACAAAACGTTTTTCTTTGTACATATTTTAAACACAATATTACATACTTTTAATATATTATAAATTAATATACAGAAAACGGCAAACACAGAAGAGAAAATAATTTAAATTTTGGTATAATTTTGAAAAAAATCTGTTAATTATTTTATTCGTAAACAGACTGCTGCTCAGAGCAATTTTGATAAAAAAAATTTCGGCGCAACCTTCCCCCTTAACTCAACAAACACTTCTTTATTATTCATTGAATATTACACTTAGACCTTAAACTATAAAGCACAAATCATAGAGTTTTTTTTTCTGAATTTTTCGGTGTATATAAATTCATTTTGCAATTTTTTTAATTCTTACCTCGAGATGATATTTTTTTATTTGGAAAAACTGTGATAACAAAATTGATAATTATTTCTTTGGAGGGAATAAAATTGTTTACCGTTTTGAAACGTCTGGTATTAAGGTTTGGTAACAACGGTTGCCAAACGATGTGCTTTTGTCTAAATTTTAGATGTCACATTATATTTTAAAGCACAGCTAGTAACTTAAAAAAAAATGTAATTACATTTTTGTTTGGTTTATTTTATTTTTAGGCGCAGTTTTTTAGCTGGTCTAACTTATTATGTATCTACTACAACATGTGCAAAAATGTAGCCAAATTTTTTTGTTGTAAAAAAGTACTTTTAGTGATCATGTTGGTGCTTAAGTTTTTTTAGCTAAATCGTGTACTATAATATTATGATAATAATTATAATAATAGGTATTTATATTTTTTTTGGTCGCCAAATTGTACACATTTTATTACCAGGAATTTTGGAGGGAATCATGAAAAAATATACTGCATGCATAACTTCTTACCGTGTGGTACTTAACCAGTATTGATATATTGTGATATTTTTTTAATAGAAAATATTATACTGACCATATAATTTTTAAACCTTATAGTGACTCATTAGGATATAATATAAGTACTTTTGTTGATAGTGTCTTATTTACATATTTTAATTTTGTACTTCAACTGCAATATCATTTTGAAAAACCAAACGCTATTTAAAAGGTAAAACTCGTATAACAACCAATGTAATATTATTAAAATAAAAGTAAAATTATTGATAGATCTATGTGAGAATAAGTAAATTTTTTGTTTTAAGAAAATGTCTAATTTTATTCTGTGTGTAAATATATGGTAAAAACTATTAAGTATATTCTGTTTTAATTGTACTTATAAGCAACAAAATATGTGTCTGAAACTGTTTATTGGGAAACACATTAAATTCATTGACAGCTCAAATGTTGAAATACATGAAATAGGATGTAGTGCATTATAAAAATATTATTTTAATAGAATAACAATAGTGTTGTATAATTTTAGACGAGTTATAATAATATTAATTCCTCGTCTAAACGTCTTAGCTGTTCCTCGAGCAGTTGTACTGGATCGCTGTTATTCAAGTTAATTTGGTGCCAAACGCCTAAAATTCTTTTGTATCTTTTGTGTGTACTTCCATCCCATAGCATAAAAGTCCCATTCTGTGTGTTGATCCAAACACTTTTTATGGGCGATGATGGTAATCGTGCACTCATGTATAATCCCATCATACGACTCATCCATTCCATATAGACATCATCGCTTACATGCCACAGCGGTCCATCTGAAAAATTTGTCATATTTTTTTTAATTTGTTAAAACTAGCTTACTAGTTGCTACTTTTTTGTATGGTGCAGGACACAACTATCTTTTTTGTTGCAATAGTCATAAAAAAACAATAGAATATAGCTTGGCGTGGCATTGTATAAAGTACTGCTATTTGTGTTACAAGAATGTAATGTGTTAGTAGTGATCTTATAAAAAAATATATAAATATATATTTATTAATAGTTCAAAAACCAAACACTTCGTATTATTATATTTACCCAATCCACGTCTGATTATATTTATTAAAGCTGAAACGACCTGACCTCTTCTCTGTTCTGCAAGATCTGTCAAATCTAAATCTCCAAAATCTGCAAAAATGATCAAATAAAAAATATTTTAGTTATTATAGTGATGCATGATAATTGCATTAAATTACATAAAGATTTGCGATACAACTAATTTTTGTGCAACCGGTCAACAAAAAGTTGATTTTATTTAAATTATTGTTTGACATATTATAATACGACATCAAATATAAATAAAATTAAGTAAATTTCAACTCTAACACTAGCTTTTACAGGCTATTTGCGACTGTGGAAACATTGTGTAATTACTTTGAGTGTTATCGAATTCAGGATCAACAATTCCTGTAACAAATACATTGTATTACATAGTGCTGAAAATATCAAGAAAATATATACTATAAATAGTCATCCTGATTGAAGTGTATTGTGTTATCAGCACATTATTCTAACCGTTTTTCGAAAGAATGATTTTACTTCAGCTTTATTACATCAAGTACAAAATAATGTATTTAAATAAGACATTTTTCTATCAATGCATCTATACCCGACGTTGATTGATTGTAATTATTCAGACAACTAGTTTTTCACAAAATAAATTGTATTGTACATATTTTAATATATATTACTAAGACACGTTTGAAATATGCCCCCTTTAAATCCAGATGTAATATATATATGTATATATGAAGGGAATTTCCACTCTTAAACAAGTTTTAAGGCTATTTTTGACTATCAAAAAAATTCGTAATTACTTTTATTTATATCAATAGGCAGTGCAATATCTGTAACAAATACATCAATCACCAAATCATTTTACAGTCACTCAAAAACAGAGGTATGAAATATTATTGTGTAAAATTTTTTTAAATTATTTCTTTTACCGACATTTTGAATAAACGGTTTGTATAGTATATTTTGAATGAATATCAAAAGCTTAAGCATAAAACATATTGACTTTATTACTTTAAGCTTTAAATAGTATTTTTTAAGTTTTTCTTATGAACTACAAATATACATAATTAATTATTAGTTTTTTTTTCAGTTTTATATTTACTTAATTTAATCACCAATTCTCGTCGAAACAAAAACTGCAAAAACATGCACTCTAAAATTTAAAACAAAATATTATATCTTAATGCAACTACATATTTTTAATGAACATACCAATAGGTTCACAATATGATTGTTGTCAAAGTATTTATAAATAGTGAATATGCGTTAAGTATATTAAAATATATAAAAATGTGGTTACTTTTCATTCTGTTAAGGTAATCTAATTCTGAAATTAAAACAAAAAAAGCGTGTGCACAAAGAGTATTATTAAACAACAGTGTGGAGAAACGTTCATAAAGTACAATGAAAATGATTACCCGGTATTTCGGGGAGATAATCGGTTTTCTCTGAAATTAACATTAGATAATATATTTAATATTACCATCCATGATGTATTTAATTTTCTATTTATTTATAAACAGCAAGACGGAGCTCAAGGTAGGAAAAAAAACATGTGTATTGAATAAATCAGGAGAAATGTGCTTCACATATTAGACATATTTTCATAAAATTAAAATTAAAACTATTACCCGGTACAGCGATCATATAATTAATTTTGGCTGAAATTGACATTACAAAAATTAGTGATATTGGAAGGCGAAGGTCAAAGTAGAAAAAAACTATATCAAACAGACTTGGGAACCGTTATGAAAATATAATGGCTGATTTGAAGCAGTCGTGGCGATGAGAATATTATAAAATAATAATCGGACAGAGCTAACATCAATGTTTTTTTTTTTTTTTTTTTAATAAAGATTCCATTTAGATTTTCGTAGAAAAATGTAATATTCATATCACTGATATGTCTTATTGTGGTGGATTATCGAGGTGAATTAATAGAGATAGTAGTGGATTAGAGATACTAGATTGCAGGACATATCCATGTATTGATGTATGATCTGCATGAAGTGTGGATGGCGTTAACTTTTTTCAAATTTTTTTTTCGTCTACTTTTATCTTTAAGAATTTTTTAAATTATTATAATAATTATAACTAGGTACCGAAAGACTCGCGGAAAGCGCGACCATTAACTTCTATTGATTCAATTACAAGCTCCAATCCATCTAGAATAAACAAATAAAAATTCGTGGTGTACTAAAAGATTGAAATAAAATCAAATTAGGTGCCTGGCGCACTTTTCTTAACTATCAATAGAAACTGTACTTTTTAATTTACAAATAACTCGACAATTAGGCACGCTTAACAAAACACTTATGTATTAGCATGTTAATTTTTTTTTATAAAACTTACTTAATCCAGAATTATTTCCTACGGTATAATCATATATATTAAAAGCACGTGCTACGGCTAGACCTGTAATAGATAATTTAAAAAATATGTACAAAAACATTGAATTATAAAAGACTTAAGAAACATTTTTTTTTTTAATACAACAATATTACTGACTCGTGATTACAATTTGCTTTTTACAATCCGCTGTAAACAAAAGTAATATATTGAATTTTTTTGGCAAATTTAAAACTACAACTTAAGTTGGTTATTGTGAAAATAAAATTTAATTACCTTCATCATCTGCGCAAACACTTACGATGGCATATGATATTAAAAAACAGAAAATATTCATTTTTATCTGCAAATAATAAAAAACATAAAAGCGACTTGTATAAATAGGTTTATATTATAATAGGTAGCACAAGAAAATAGATGTTTCCTGCATTTGTGCATTAACGCATTTTTTGTACTAAATATAGGCATCTCTTTTCCACTGTATCCGCGCTTTATAATATATTTAGAAATCACTATTTACAATTTTTCCTATTTTAATCATTTATTTTTCACAAATTTGATTTTCATGTAAAATAAACTAGTCTACAGCGTAGAATAAGTTTTTTTTTTCAAAATAATTTTACTATTCACTTTAAAAATGAAGTCAAGCTAAAACAAACTTTTCTTGCATTTTTAAAATTTTTTTAATTATAATGGATGACTATTTTGCTGAATATTACTTTTTTGACGAACATTTTTTTACTTTAGGTTTTTATACACTAAGGTTCTACTTTTGTGAGGCATTATGAAAACGATTATTTTTTACCACACCCTATATAAAACACATTAAGCCAAATAATGAATAAATAAAAAATCTATGGGTATAATATAGAATTCTGTCCAAAATGTTAATTGTAAAACGCTGTTAAGACCCGACACAAAAATAACTAGCAATAAAAAATCCTTATAACTGATAAAACTTTTTTACAATATAACTTGACAATTTTTAGAGTTTGATAGAAATCCTTCTGAAATTGTCGAGCTGAAAGAATTTCTTAGACAACACTTAATCGACTAGATCGGCTATTGAAACTGAATATTTTTTTTGCGGTTTATAATTCGACCGTAAACTCAGAATCTAATAGGTGTTAAGTGTAACATCATTTATTTACACAGCTGGTTCATTTTTTTTTTTTTTTGTAATATGACTAATCTTTTATTAAAACAAAGCCCACAAAAATTACAGAAAGTCAAGTGTAGTATTATTTTTATCTGCGCGCATTTCCCAACTGCACTTCCTCTCCCATCCTGGCTTTTAAACTTCAAAAATAGTTATCCGAAACTGGTTATCGACCAGTCAAAATTTGTAACACATTATTCTCAATTTAAAAAGTTAATAAAATATATACGTCACCGTTGAAGTTTCAAAAGTCGCTATTAAAAAATTCCAAAAAGTTGGAAGGGGGTAAAAACAAAAAAAATTGTAAAAAACTGAGATCACATTGTATAAAAACAGTATGAAAAAAAAATTGTAATTTCTTATTAAACCCTATGAGATATTGACTGGTTCGTGATAAAAGAATCACCCTGTATGTATAAAAACTAAAAGATAATTGCACCAACTTGGTAATTTAGCATACAACTTAACCGATGAAAACTTAATTAAAATGTTTTATATTTAAAAATATATCAACTACCTGTATAAAACGTATACGGCGATTTTTTCTTTTGTACCAAAAAAATCCATCACCTCTTCGATATACTCATTTGGTGGATCTTCTCCATCACCTTCTATACTCGTTTTCATAGAATACTGCAGAGTATCTTGCCCCATTCGGCTGCGAAGTCTTGTCATAATTATTCTATGATCTTTCCACTGTGGCCTTTGCTAGTGGAACACATAAAACCGATTCTGCTAATTTTTTCAGATGTTCATAACCAATATTGGCTTCAAGGAGGCTAGCTATTGGATATCCCTGGTTTTCTACTTTCTGTAAAGCTACAAACACAAAAGACTGGTAATCTGGTAAACAATTGTCTTTTTTCAATGAATTAAGTTTGCTTGAATTGTCTGTAGCGTTTTTAATGATGATACTTTTATTCACAGCATCTTGATTCAAACATTCTAAAATGCTATTTAAGTGACACGCTGTAGTTTTAATTAAAGTGGGTAAAGATGAAATACTAATTTTAGGACCTCACCGAGTTAAACTTAAATTTGAAATTGCGTCTAATATTTCATCTAATCATGAAAAAAAATCTTTTATTGTTCGTTTTGACATTTTGCATTAAAATGACCACAAAATAGGAAGTATTAATGTAATGTTACTCATTCTATGTTGATATTTTATCGATTTGATTTCCAAAAACAATCTTTGGCGAAAGCATCAGTCGATAACGACGCTACGCGTCCACCCCACAAGTTACATATAAAAATTCAAATTTAAAAACAATGACAATAATAATGTTAGAAAAACACTTGCATCTGTTCGTTACATATTATATTATAATTGATTATCTTTTTACTGTCAATATATATACATTATAAAATCTGAAATTGTACAATAGTATACATGTACTTAAGCTGACGGGAGAAGAACCGTCGGTAGATTTTTTCATTAACATATTCCACATAATACATTTTTTTTAAGTACATAATATTGTATGTCTATTTTTGTGTCTTAACTTTTCTACTACCAAAAAAAAATAATTACCGAATAAGTAAAGTTGTATTTTTTAATCTAATATACTCCAACTATTTATTTCTACTTTTGATTCCACCTTTTATATTTATACCTTTATTAAATGTCTGTGCTTTACACAGATACATATTGTACATATTGTAAAATATAATCCCATATAATATCATCATAGTGTGAAAATGTTGAAAACAATTAATACATTTTAAAACATAAAATATTTGTTCAATTATTATTTTATAATTAACATAAATTAATAGGTATTTGTTAAAAGCATCATTTACACCTTCTTAATTACTTTTAACGTATTATGAGTATTCAAAATGAATTTATACGAATCCAAATGGTACAACATAGGGTCTTTCCACACAAATACGGGCGTTTAAAAATAAAGCTAAATAATTTAACAAAAGACTATTTTACTAAATTTATGACTTAGGTGCCTTTTAACAAATACCTATTCAAATATGAAATAGTTTTAATGCAGGAGTTAGGAGATATGGGAAAAAATGAATTGTAAATAACATTTATATAAAATTATAATATTACTAATTATTAAATGTTTTTAATATGTAATATATCAGTGAAAATTTGAAATGTAGTACGTTTTAGTTTTAAACTATTATTAGAATAGGATTTTAATAATCCATTCAACAATAAATAAATGAGATAAATTAACTAAAAAAATACTAGTGTGTACATAGATACACATATAATATTGTAGGTACGATAGGATAAAATAACAGATATTTTATCCCATGTCCTCATAATAAAAAAAGTTGCAGTCTACTTAAAACCCATAACGGCTAAAATTATAAGCCATGGAACATGCTTTAGCCTGTTGGCTGCTGAATAGTATGACCATAGTACAGTCTTAATGATATGTTCTGGCCATAACTTTTGCAACGACGACTCCGTTGTATAATACGTTTAAAATAGACGCGTTACTTTCGTGACGCTATTTCATGTCGCTATTTTGACATGGACATGTCTTACGGCTGGGGACCATTTTGAAAATTTGCCCTTCACGTTTTATGTCACAGTGCCGACGTCATTATGGATTATGGGGGAGTAGGGAGCTGAATTAATAGAGACGGTGGATTAGAGATAAGGTATTAGAGATACTAGATTGCAGGGCATATCCATGTATTGATGTATCTGCATGAATTGTGGATAATCTTTTAACTTTATTGTGTAGTTTTCGAGCTGGGAAGTCAAGGCTAAAGCATGTTCCATGTAAAAAATTGTTTTTGTTTATATTTTAATGCTGTGTCTACGTACAGCTGCCATACCATACACACACCGCAGCGCCCGAATTATATCAACGACTAGTATACATATATATATATACATATATATTTCGACTTGGCGTTACACTTTAAGGTTTTTAATTTTGAACATAGCTGGAAAAATAACATAAAGCATAAGTAGAACAATTAAAACAATTGTACGTTATACCTGTACCTAGTTGTTTTAGAAATGTTTTAAACAATTTTTTCCCAAAATTTCGAAAAGTGTTGATAATTAATATCGGAAATGGGCTACTTATATTTTTCTGCCATACAATAACGTTTGTTTAAGATTATCCAATATTGTTTCCTCCTGCTGAATGCTGATACGTCATATTTTAGCGTACACATTGCATCCAAACAAAAACTGATAATCTTGGAATTGTTACTCAAGTAACTATTGTAGTTTATTGTATAGTTCAACTACGATTACCTATAATCATTTTTACACGGTGTAAATCCGCGTCCTGAATCTGCGGCAGGGTTTATCATTTTCATTACAATATTGAATAAGACCATAAAGCGTCGACTGTAAAATATATTGTATAATATATACTTTTTACAGTGATGATCATTGACTGAGTAATAACTGCTCAAAACTACTTTATAATTAAGCTTTTCCCCGGAAAAAGGGCCAATTTTTTAACTTTTTTTTTTTTTGTTCTATGTTGTTTACAAATGGCATGTAATCCTCTTAACTAAAAATAACATAGTATTTTGTGACTAAAAGTCTGCACTGGCTCGTTTTTTTACCAATTCTTTAGCATCTGTTACGGTTTATTCAACATTTTGAACACGTATCATCTTACGGTATCAAGTGTTTACGTTGAAAATAACAAGTTCATATTAAACCACTTTATTATACTCAACTTTACTCATACTTTATTAAATGTTTTATATTTCTACTACAAATTTATTGTGATCCTTTAATAAACAGACTTGTAGTTGGACCTACTTAGTATTTTAGGAGGAGTTTCTTATTTATTTAAATTTACAGCTCTGAAAAGGTACATCTTGTACTTAATATACTTTGATATTTGAATGGATTTCTTTTTAAGAAACTTATTCACTAATGATACTCTGACTTGAGGATCTGTAGAATAATATATTTAATATTTTGACTCATTACGATCTAAGAATATGAGAAATATTTAAAGATTGGACAAATATTCTCTACAACTAAACCAAAATTGTTTTTTACTAGAGATATATTTTACCCGGCTATAGTGTTTTTTAGAAACATGAACGGTCTGTTATTATACAAATAACATTGCCATTTGCGTCACACTTTAATAAAATATTTTCTATGAAGTTTGAATAATATTTGTTATATATTTTCTACTTAACATATGGGATAATACAAGAACAAGATCAAATTAAAGCGGAAAGAACTAAATAAATAGTTGGCCCAATTAATGATTACAGGAACAAATGTAAATTAGTTATTTCTACTCCATATGTATTGTGACCCTTTAATAAACATACTTTTAGTTGGACCAACTTAGTATTTTAGGAGGAGTTAATTATTTAGCAGCTGTTACGGTTTAGTCAACATTTTGAACACGTATTAATACATGTTCAAACACGTATTAAAACTTCTTCAATATACTCGACAATTTTAAATAGGAAACGTTCAACGTTAATATATATACTATTTTCCTTCATACTACACTAAAATATTATAGTTCTCGCTAGTTATGTTGCATTCCAACATATCATTGTGTATTATGATTGCTGTGCTTACAAATGCGGTGATAGGGCCACGAAACACTCATAAACCAGAAATGGACAAGGTAATGGCCGAGCTGAACAAGATCAGACAACTCGATATGGGTTTCTTAAAAGCTTTCGTTATGGGAAAAAGACGGACGCTCGACAATATGCTAGCTCACTCAAAAAAACATGTCAGGCACATTTACCATCAGCTTGAGTGCAGTTATGCGTTGTTTGCGATGCGTTACATGCGAATAGTCCAAGCAATCTTTGCGGACCCAATTTATTTGGTAAAAAAAGACGTTTTGGAAAAGGTTTTGTTTGACGACGAAGCTGCGGCAATGTTGACCGCCTCCATAGATATGCCAA